ATTCTTTTCCTTCTACACATGTAATCACATAACTAATCTAGCAAAAGCTTCGCTTTTGAACTCGTAGGTGGAGTTTGCAGAAGTGGCGATTATGCGTGTACATGACGCACAATTCTGAAAAATTGCAAGTTGTCATGTCAATAATGACCAGTAATAATTTGCTAAGATTTGACTTTATGTTTATCTCTTGAAGTCTTTTCCTGTTTATTTGCAGGTTGTTGTGGAGAATGTGTAAGCGAGGAATAATTTACATATATTCTCAGCATACACACAGATAATTATTTGGCGTGCAACCGAATGGGAATACTGAAACCTTCCGAAGGTCGAATTGAAATCGAATATCGCGAATGAACAAGGGAGTTCTGGACGGCCTGTCAAGTCAACGTTGAAAAAAAATTGAGTTTTCTATAAATTTCGAAATTCAAAACTCGAAACTGCCTGGTCTTCCGAATGGTAGTACGCAATGCTAACCGGAAGCGGAGGAAGAGAAAGGAAACAAATAACGATCTGTCGATACATAAGAAACGCCTGGAGTGCTTTTGTTGATGTGGAAGAAGATGAACTACGCTTTTGGGGGATTTTGTAAAAATCCTTTTTTAAAATGAATTGAAGCACATTTTTAGCTCGATTAGTATTCAAAATAAAAATGGAAATAATTTCACCACAAAATTCTTGACTGCAATTTTTTTGATGAACTGGAATCTGAGCATTTTCTCAAAAATAACTTTTTCCAAGCCAGCATTTTTATATCTAATTTATTTCAGTTAAATTGCTATAATTTGTTAAAGCAAAAACTGTAAACCGTTAACTTACTGATTGCCAAACACAATTGCTGACGCCATAATTTACTAAACGATTTATAAATATTTTTTTCCATTTTTCATTCTTCATATTTTGTGTGGTGACCAAAAACCAATTTGACAACTCACTTAACAGCCAAGCTGGCCAGACTACAACAAATAGCATACATCGGTCAACCGAAGCCGAAATAGTTCGGGAAGAGTTTGTTATTTGGCAGACGCCTAAACACATTTTCCCAACCTCATTCTGTGAGCAATAAATTATCGTAACTTCTTTATTAACTGCACATCGCCTCGTGGAATATCACAAGTTTGGACATTGCACCGCAACCCGCAGCCGCAACCATAGTGAATGCGGGAAATTTTCCGAAAAAAAAAACTGTTGAGCGAAATGTGAAATTTTATTATGAGAGAATAACGAAATTTACGGAGAAAAAATAGAATAAAATAAGAAAAAAAAATTTTAATGAAATGAAAAATTTAAAAATGGGCAAATTTCTAGCATGACAACGATTGCCCGCTCGATCTGTCGGCCGGTCGGTCGGTCAATCGTTCGGTAACAGGGAATGGGAATGCATATGAAGCGGTGTGTGTAGGTGGACGCTTCTTGACAATGTATCGGAGGCCCTTAAGCCAAAATATGTGTTTTGTAGAGTGCTTTATTGCAGACATACGTGCACACATACATATGTTTCTGCAGAAATATCAATGTGATATATCACAGCCGACACGAGGCACCCACCAACAACAGCCGAAAAATCTTTTTAACTTTCCACGAGCAGCGCAACTACGCTGTGCTCAACGGCGAGCGATGCTGACGATGGTGGCGTTGAACGAAGTGATGATTGCAATGGTGCGACGATGTTGGTGATGATGGTGGCAATAATAAGAAGACTAGAAGTAGAAAAAAGAAACACAGTAAGAAGAAGAGAAGACCAGAAAATGCCCGAAAATGATGAGCGGCTGTTTAAGCGGTGACCGTGGACATTGCCGGAATGTGATGGTAGACACGAGAAGAATTTGCAGCCGCCAGCTAAAGGAATGCAATTTCGGACAAGAGTGTAACGATAGCCAAACGATTGCTAGCAACGGGAAACATGGCTAATTCGTAAAAAGAGTTGTGGAAAATCAAAATATTCTTTGGCTGCCAACTAAGAGTTGTTGTTGTTGCTTTTATTGTTATTGGTGTGAATATTTGCAAGCGGTACTTAGTTGCTGGTGTTGTTCGCTGATGTTGTTGTTTCTGCTGCTGCTTAAAATTCCGAAACAAATTGCTGCGGTCATGGTGCAAGAGCGGTCAACAACAACAGTGCAGCAGCAAGCAAAGCAGTGCACAATATTGCTCGTTATGTGAACAACAACAACAACAAAAATTACCCAAGCAAATGGTATACATTGTTGGTGTTGTTGTTGTTATTGTTACTTTTGTTGTAACTATTTTTGTCATTCATGGCCTCTCTAACCCCACCTCCACCTTCCCCCTCCAGGCTTCGCAATTACATTGAGCAGCACTTGTTGTTGTCGTTGTTGTTTTTCGCTGTTGCTGCTATTGTTGTTATTGGCAAGTGTTGTGTGCTTCGCTGTTCCTGCTGGCAGTTTAGTTATTTCTGACCACGTCATCGCAAACATCAATTGACCCTTCGCTATTTGAGAGATCAAGCGTAATAATCGCTGGCATAAAGATTTTTTACACTTCGTCTCGAGCGATTCCCAGCATATGTTGGCACCTAACAAGGAGTATACATTCGACATACAAACACATGCATACACATCTACGTACATATGTGTGTACATACATACGGAGAAGTTAGCTATGCGTTGGGCTTTCTGTCTCGATGTCATGCTGCGCATAGAAACAGATATATGTAGGTATGTCTGAGCTGAGTTTTAGAAGAATCCTATTACTAGGGGTCTCAAACCTAAACTAAGACTGTTTGTGGAATCCTCACCAAGTAAGAGGGGGTTCTTTCGTTTCCTCTCACCTTTGGGAGCGAGGGGCTATATACTCCACAGCCGTATGACTCAGATGAGTTTGGTACGATCTTATATTCCTCACAGGAATCAGCACAACTCCTTTAGAAGCAGTCTCTAGAAAGTCATTTAAAATTATTGTTTCTGGGGAAATGCGGAGAGGCGGTTAGTGCCCTGCAATGTTGATATTAAGCAGGATATATGTTTGAGTCGAGTCTGAATAAGAATTAGTTTAGTCTGCTGCAATTTCCGGACATTGATCATGGCAATGTAACTCAGCCGTCACGCGACAACTCGAACTCTTAGTCTGCAGGCATAGTGGTTGGGTTCCGATAGTGACTGACTTTTAAAACAGCACTTCCAGCAGAACTGTTAAGTTCAAACGGCCAGGGTTAGAAAATGAATTGCGGTTGCCCCTCGACAGGGAATGTCAATGCTTAAGAGTGTATTTCTGACATGAAATAAAAGCTTTAAATGAAATTAAACGGCTTTTTGGAGTCGCCTACGAATGAGTATCTAGATGGCAAGTGTGTTTCAGGCTGTTATCTTTGGAAGGATCCTTTGGGTATAATCACACTAGTTACTGCTTACATAGCATTATATTACCCTCCGTGGAGCTCAGATGTCTCGGGGTGAAAGTGGAGAGTAAGCGATATTCCGAAGAGTATTTAACTCTCTTAGCCTCTAGGCCGGTGCAATGAATGTTTTCTCAAATCTCCCCTAGCAACTTTGAGACTTTGTTTTGGCTTGTCATGCGGAGTGAAAAAGTGGAAGCTTTCTAACTTCATTCCCAATAGCTAAGTCATCGAGGTCATCTAACGCAAGGACCAGGAAACGAGCTGTTTCAACAGGTTCGGTCAAGGGGGAGATGGGGGATTAGATGAGTTGATTTGAAGGGGCATGCAAAGAAGTGATTAGTTTCGTGCGGGAACTCATTGCTTGCAGGGTACGATTCTGGATATGCAAACCTGAGTTGTGTCAGTATTACGCGAGACACTCGATGCAGTTCGAGCTCTTCGTCTGAACAGGCGGCGGGTGAGAGTTCACGAAGGTGATGAGGGGCTCTTGATGAATGGCGGTTAGTGCTTTCCTGTACGCCTTCCTGTCCAGCAGTCGTGAATATAGTCTTGTAAGCCGAGTACTCTCTTTCTGATGTGCCTGGGATGATGTTCGGCTTCCTAATTAATGTCTGTAAGGGTGCTCCTTACGGTACTATCCTAACTCTAAGCATGGATCCTTCGCTGTTCAAGTGATGCTCTGCGATGCAACAACAGATATTCTTCTGTCACCGTCCTGAGGGAGGTATTTTGCCAGGCTTGTAACTTCTTAAACTCCGTCTCGCTAGTACCCGGCGCCCAGATCGGTGGAGCATGATTTATGACCGGCCGGCTGTTAACCCAAACGGGGTTATGTCGCCGAAAGGGTCAATTTCGATGCGTAAAACCGTCTGTCTTGAGAAGTGAGAAAGGTCGCCGAGATGACAGTTTACTTCCAAACTTAAGTCAGCAATATCCTGGCCAGACGCTAGGAAGGAGTTTCGAGAAATAAAAGTTAAATAGAGGGGTCTCTATGGAGCACCTTGTTTAATCTTTCAGTATTTTGATGTTTGACCTCGAACTTCTACCGATGATTGACGACCACTCATGTATCCAACGATCCACATCTTCAACTCTGGCGGTAATGGGAATCCTCAATGTCCTATAGAAGCATTGAATGGTTGACTATATCAAGAGCTTTGGACAGGTCCAGTGCTATCAGAACAGTTCACGCACAGGGCCAGTTTTGGTTGAGACCATTGACTATCTGAGTGCTTCACCCACCATCTGAGTCCGGATGTGCTGCTGGACTCAGATGGTGGGTGAAGGTCGGGATCTCCAAGGTTTCAGCAGTCTTCGCTACTGGGGAGAGGAGAGATATCGGCCAATAGGACTCTCCTCCCTACCTATTTCCCACACGTCGTGTAGGTTTAAGGTGGTTAAAGGCAAGTTAAGAAGAATGGGGATCTTTGAGACTTTTTAGGTTTGAAAATAGATCATTTATACCACTTGACAATATTTAGCACTCTGAACATTGTTTTAAGGTCCGCCCCCATTGTACAATTTTATACCTTCATAATGTGATTAAGTTTTCATGAAATTTATTTATTAAAAATTTCATTTACGTACATTTTTTTGATTATTCCAGTAACATATACATACATACATTTAATTAAAACCAATTACACACTTAATTATGTATTTTTTAATTGAAAGTTTCCACATACGTTGACTTCAACTCCAAATATATACTAATTATGCATACGATTCTAAGGAGACTCAGTGTATGACTTTGCTTAGTTATTTTTTGTGTAATTTTCTTAATATAAATCATATAAATAAAAATGTCGCAACTATTTTTGAATCAAGCCAAGTATCCACTTCAAAAAGGACTATGGATTTTATAGCGATACTCTCAATATGTGTTACAGGTGTTTTGTTTTATTGAATACGATATCCTTTCGGTGTATTATAAATTTTCCCAACCAGCGTTGATATCGCTTTTTATCTTTGAGACTTAATTTTAGCTTAAAAATATTAATAAATCATAAATACAAAATGTTTTAGAATGATTGGAATAAAATAATTATATTCAGGTTAGATGTAAAGCATTAGAACTACTAGTCGTTTAGTATGATATATATATATATAAATATAAATATATATATATATAAATGTTGGGCCGATTTATAACTAATTAGAAAAATTTTTTAAAACAAAATTTTGTGAAGAATCTTTCGCGTTCCCGTTGTCAACTTAAACTTTTTTTAGATTATAGTAAATATACTATAATGTCGGCGAATGATAAACAAAACCGGGATTGTTAAATTTAAAACGTGCTATTTCGAATTTCAGCTTCTCGGCTTTAATATCGGCTAAACGTTTCAACTGGCGTGCTATTTCACGCGCATCATTTATTGGTACACTGCTTACGCCCAAAACATGGCTGGCACTGTTACTATTCAAATCCGCATGGGGCACGGCCGTGTTGTGTATGGTTATGGTGCGTGGTTGTTGGTGTTGGTGCGACATTGGTGCCTTTTTAACTGATAATTAAAGAATAAAATTTTTAAATTAACAATTAAAAATTAATTATTAAGAAAAAAAATGTTTATACCTTCGTAAACGACTTGTTCGGTGGGTGGTTGCGTACGTAATCTTTTTAATGGCATTTCACCATTAATAAGTTTTGTCACTGTGGTTGGATGTGGCGGAGCTGCTGTCACCATCGTTTGCACGGCGGTTGCAATAGCATTAGTGGATTGTGATGATGGTCCCAATGTGTGGCGACGTTGCGTTATGAATTCCAAATGATCTTGATTCTGTTCATCATCTGTAAATTGTGCATTCTCTACAACAATTGTTCGATAAGTTGTCGTTGTCCCAACATTAGCTACACTCGCAGTGTTACCACTTGTTGTCTGAACATTACTTGTAATTTCTTGCTCATCGGATTCGTCGTGCATACCATCCTCATCGTCATCACCACATATAGCTTCTTCAACGGCAGCCTGTAATTCTTTCTGCAGCGATTCTGATGTACGCTGATATTCTACTTCTTCTTCTTCAGCATCTTCTTTTTCCGATTTAAGAGTAATGCTAACTGGATCAGCAGTTGTATTTGGTACTTTACCAAAGAGATCGAGTGCCTTTAATTCAAGGGATGTTAGTGAGATATCCTTTTCGCCAGAAATACTTCTTCTGTATTTACAACGGGTTGTGTTCTTCCAATCGTTTAAGCGCTGACAAAAGGAAGAAATGAACAATAGAAGATACATTTATATTTATATACTTTTATTACCTTGCGCCATTCTTCTGCTGTTAACGTTGGTCCACTATTGCATGTATTTAGTTTATCAGAAAGTTCTTTCCATTTTTTTTGCAAATAATTACTTTCTACATCGCGTGGAATGCGTCCTGTAGCAAAAATGGAGTCCTTTTCCATCATATCCAAGTACATCATATATTGACTAGTGGATGTGCGTTTCTTTCGCCTATCCATTTTGTGTTGCTGTTCTGACCCTTCGGACGCAATTTTGGCTAATTTTTTAGTAACAGAAAACACAAAAAATTAATTTATTTCAATAGAATTAACACAGAGCGCCACTTTTTTCTGTAAACAGTGTTTTGCTAGCATCTGTCAATGGGTTTTCAGTATTTCGTTAAGTTGAAATTCAACGAAGCTGTATCAAGATGTTGCCAGGTCAAAAACTATGTCGAAACTGTTTTATCGACGTATGAACAATAATGGGTAAATTTTTAATTTGCATATATCTACAATGAAAACAAAATTCATCGAAGCATCGCTCAAGCTCGGGGAAACCATTTTCCAAGAATAAACAGATTAACAAAGAACGAATATTAATATATGTATATATAATATATATTAATATACGTTATCGCGGAGCATAGAAATTTTCCCTTTGATTCAAATATAACCCCATAACCGGTGGAGATATGAGCAACGTTACTGATTGAGTTGATTGATATAAAAAATTACCTATACAAATATATCATAATATATTATTAATTTTAAATAAAAATATATAATGGAAAACGAAAATTAGGGCGAAACACAACCAGTTTCCGTCGTGCATGGATGGGATGGGTCGGAAAGGATGCCAGAGGAGGCAGCGTTGGAAAGGGAGGTTGCAGTAGGCCAAAAATATGATCATCTGGCTTATGGACAACTCCAGGAGGTCTCGAAAAATTTGAATATCCTTCTTTCTGAACAAAGATCGTATATTAATATACATTCATTGTCCTAAGTGTACTTGATACTTATGTATATCTCAGCTCAAATGATTGAAAAACTCTTATAATTGTTTGTATTTGATTCTAATTTTTTTTTTAATTTTTTAATTTTATCCAAACAGATCCGCAACCGATTATTACGGTGCGTCGATATATCTATCCAGGACACACTCCTAATTCATGTTTGTAACGAATGATGCAACAATCAGCTGGTTGGAAACTATCAGAGCATTTGTCGCAAATCGAACAAATCCACACACCACTCGCATATTCCAAAGAAACGAACCGACTGAAATTACAAGTTTCTGAGAACAGTGTAAAAAATGTTAAAAAATGCTATTGGATATTGATTTTTGTAAAATAAAAATGTATAAATCTAAAATTTGTGGTTGTAGAAAGTATATAAAGTAATTTTATTTACGTATTTCGGTGTGAAACGTTTATAATATGGTCTTCAAAAAACGTGAAAAATTGCAGCGGATATAAAGATTTGATGCAAATGTATGGAGACTGAGAGAAATGCGAAAAAACTACGAACTTGAGTAATAACAAATTTTGAAAAGTATAAAGTGTGAGCAAAAAGAATTATTTGAAGGCACTAAATTTGCCGATGGGGTATTGAAATTAGAGATTCTATGTTTAAAATTAAATATAAAATATAGTGCATGTCAGAATAGCGACATATATACATACTAACCTTTCCTAATAAAACAATTATACCCGTCTACCGATTACAAGTGCTAGTTGTTATTGTAGCCGATGGTTCAGCGTGTGGCTTTCAAGTTCAGATACGAGCACAAATTAATAAAATAATAATATAAAAATAATATTATTATAATTTCTTTCTAAATTAAAAAAAACTATAAAATTGAGCAAAAGACTAGAATTGCAAAATATTGAAGATGTCTACCCCAGCAGTCATTGAGGGTACGGCAGTAGCTGGTGAGGTTGGTGACGCTTACTTAAATTTATCCGGTAATACGCGTCCTTTGCCAGATGCGGAGTCAAGTGCTCGAACTTCAGCTATGTCTAGCCACACTTTCCGGCGTCCACGTTCAGCCGCTACACGTATGCAACAAAGTACAGAAGAAAATGTTGAAAGCGGTGCCGTAAACGCTCAAAGCACTGTAAGTTCTTCATCAAGTGTCAATGAAAGCTCATCAGCATACGGAAATGCTGCACCTCCATCTGCAGAGGATGTAAATGTTCCACAAACATTAACGCCTCTAATGCGTATGAAGTTATTTGAATTAGCGACCAGCAGTAGCGAAAGTGATGGGGATGAAAACCAACAAGATGCAGCCGAAGGAGATGGTGCTAGTAATGGCGATGCAAGGCGTGCAGCATCCCCACCTCCCAATTGCGCAATTTGTTTAGGACGTTGTAAAAATAAATGTTTCACTGACTCCTGCATGCATCAGTTTTGTTTCAAGTGCCTCTGTGAATGGAGCAAGGTAAATACTGTTTATTGAATGTTAATTTAATTAGTTGCAAATAATTGTTCTTAACTTTATGATTGTCTGCAGGTGAAACCAGAATGCCCGCTATGTAAGCAGACATTTAAATCGATAATACATAACGTCAAATCGATTGATCAATTCGAGGAGTACCATGTGCAGCCACCCACCGTACAAATTCCACATCGCCCCATGGAGGTCACCCTTAGGAACTTGCCATATATTTTTGATGCCGTCGTCGTGGAAGGGTGCGTATTTAAATTCCGGTTCAAGTAGAGAATATTATAAAAATTGCTATATGTTTGAGCAGCCGAACAAAAGTTATAAGTTTATATTTTATAAAATTCTTTACAATCAACGTTTCTAGCATTTTTCTTAGTAATTAAGATTTTAATGGTAATTAATTATGTATAGATCTAGGCGTGACTGGGATCTTCCGCGCCGAAATTCGGCACATCGTATCCGTCCCGCTCGCAGTGGCATATTTTATCCTTCCCCAATGGGTGATGCACCAGCAAATGCAGAACATGGCAACGTTTCAAATGTAACCAATTTGTATAGTCACTACCGCAATGAGTTGCTAGACATGTATCATCGGGAAGCGCCGGATGCTGTAGCTAGCAGTGGGACTTTAAGTCAACTATGGCGTCGTTTTATATACGATCGTCGTCTCTTTGCACTACCAGTTTGTGATATAACAGGACGTTTTCGTGAAAGTACAGCCAGATTTTATAGGTAAGCTTAGGCGTTAAATTTGTTGTCTGCACGAATATTAACGTTAAATTTTAGGGATAACCCTGCTCAAGTGCATCGTCTCATGCCGTGGATTAATCGTGACATAGTGTGTTTGTTGCAAAATACTGAACACGATGTTTCTTTGCTGCTGGAACGCATCAACGAAAGTCTACTGCAGACAAATATCTTATCACCTGCATTCCGTCGACGTTTGCAACCTTATTTGGGAACAAAAACATCACATTTCATTCATGAACTAAATAACTTTGCACGTTCCCCCTACGATATGATTGGTTATGATCGTGCTGTACACTATTTGCCACAAGCCCCTGAAGAGATCGTCATAGAGTTCTCATCATCCGGATCTTCCGATGAAGGAATCGCATCTACTGACAATGAACGTGGCTCACGGAGTCGTAATACGCGTGCACGTAACGATGGTGAATTCAGAGTGATCTCACGCTCCGACAATGCTTCGGGTAGTGGACCAGCTGATTCAGTTGGCGCATTGCTATCGTTTAGCGTTAGCACTACCTCAGAGGGTACAGAAGCACCTGGTGTTAGCGTTTCAATAAATGGACGAAGTGGACAATCGGCCGCTATTAATCTCAGCACACATAACCGCGTCAGTGGTGACATTATAGACTTGGACGATTTAGAAGCTGGATATGAAGCGGGCGGAAACGAAAGTGCATCAACATCGACGGCGGCGGCTGCAACAACTGCAAATGAAGAAGCGGCTACAACAAGCGCTGCAGCCAATAGAACTGCACCCACCGTTACGGAAAATATTGAACTCAGTTCAGGTAGCAGCGACGAATGTGAGTTCGTTTTGGAGCGTAAACCACCACATCTACGCACACCCGAACTGGTTAGTCTGAATTCGGAGAGTGATTCCGATGTGGTATTCGTAGATGAGTCGAAACCATTACGCAAAACCGCATTTGCCAGCAGTGGCGATGAAGAACAAAAGCAGCGCCATACTGAAAGTAAAAATAAAAGACCAACACCTCAAACATCAATAACAACAGCTGTAGGAGAAACAGCTTCACACACAGCAGCCGATCGTGAGGAGCTGTATAATGTGGGTGCGAGCACATCGACAGGCTTGCGTTCGTCTGGTGGTGGACGCGGCATAAAAGAAATGTATGAGCGTACAAAACGCAGCACAGCGTCTCGACGTAAACGCAATTTACGCAGCAATCGCTCCAAGGAAGACACCCAAGCGAAAACTATGCACAGGGGTAAACGTATATATGAAAGCAGCTGCACACCCTCAAATACCGACTCATCCACCAGATCCAGTGATAGTGATAGCGATGAAGATTTCAGCATCAAAAGACAACGTGCGAAATCACAAAGAAATTCAAGAAAGGCCAAACCAAAGAGCAGCAAAAGGAAAGCGACGCAACAAACACGCAGCAGTAGCAACAGTCGCAGTCGTAATAACAGCAGCAGGAATAGTCGAAAACGACAAAGCATGATCACAAATAAAGAGAAAAAAGAACATTCCAAACGTTGCAAAGTCGAAATGAATACGGACTCTGAGTACTCAAGTGATGATGGACAAAATTTAATTGAGCTGCAGCGACGATTACAAGCGCTTAAAGAGCAAGAAGATGAGAGGATTGAGGCGACGCATGACTACCTAAGTGAACGTGAGCGCGCTATAGAGCAGTACAATTCGGATGGTTATAATAATGCCTCAGACCAATTACCAACTGGCTCCAGCCAATTTGGCAAAATACAAACGCAACAGGGCGTTGCTTTTACTAAGCAAGAAAATTTTGATAGCGATACGAATGAGAATAGTGTACATTCAAGTTATGCCCTCGATCGGCTAGTCGAAGCGGCGGAAGAGTGTTTCGGTGTGGCACGAAATGTGTGCGTCACATCGACAAATGAAGATCAAACAGCTGCGCTCAACATTGCTATGGAGGAGGACAATACGTTTTCATCTACGGTAACACAAACAACAACTGCCACAACTGTTACTACCACAGCAGCGAATAATCGCTCCGTATCGCGTGCTTCAGTCACAACTAACAATACGAATGACGACAACGATAATGATAACGAAGACAATGATGAGCATCGTAATATGCATGATAACTACAATAACAGTACTGAAAGCTCATCAACATCATCATCTACGTCAACGTCAGACCCAACTGCATCCTCCCATTCACTGTATTCAGCCACTAGCGACAGTGAAGAAGACGAAGAGGAGGACGAGCAGCAGCATCAGCAGCAGGTGGAAGCAATATCGGCACATCGTGCCAATATAAATGAAAATGAAAATGAAAATGAGACAGATGGCAATTCCTTAGGCTTGCAACAATTATTGGATGGTGCTTCGTTGGGTGATGATTGGCTAGTGCAACAGCTCGGCATCGACGAAGAGTCTACGGCTAATCATGAAAATGCAGCCGTTAATGAGAGTTCCGATACGGAAGATGTATCGCAGCAGCAGGTACAAGTCGAGGAAGGCGTTTCAGTGCCAGATATTGATAACGATGTTAGCAGTATATTTCTAAATCAACACGATTCAAATCTTGTTATGCCCTTCAACTACGATGCCGAGGGCAGTCAGAGTGATGCTGAGTGACAAATACATGAATTGTAATATTTAGTAAACTGCGAGACGCTACAAGATGAATAATTACCTAACTTTTCTGTGCACATTACATTTATGCGCGTACTTTGATTAAATTTGATTTTTTTTTCTTCTCATAACAACAAACACATGGATGACCTAAGGAAGCGATTGCACTAGCAGCTAATAAATTAAGTTGAAATTCTGAAAAGTATTTAAGTCAACCAATGAGCAACTAAAAATTGTAAGCAGAAAAATTTCAACTCTATTTCTATAAGACCGTACACAAAACCGGTTTGTAGTTTTATTAAATTAAAGTTTATTTACGCATTACACTAGTTAACAACTATTTAATTATACACATACGTACGTATGGGAAAGCACTTTTGCATATAAATATTTTACTACTTTTCAAAGCACATTCTACTGCGTAGCCTAGCGTCATTCAAAATGTGTCCAAAATAGTTTTTGAAGGAGGAGCAGCGGGTGTTGTATGAATTGAATTAAAGCGCCAACGTATGTTCGTGTATACGGTCCAGTGGTGTGAAATCATTACATATTGATAATTAGTTTATAAATATAAGTTATTAATTAAGTAGTAACCTAAGTTGATGCTACATAATTTGCACGTCATAAAGGATAAATGGTGAATTTATGTTATAAGAAACAAATTGGTAATTTTCCTATTTAAATGACGGCTTTTAAGCACTAAAAAAAACTCAACTTACAATTTCCATTTGACGGTTATTTTCAAATATTAGCGGCTACGCTCGAGTCTACAGTTCAATTGCAAACATATTTATTTAGCTTGTTTTCCAGTTACTAATCGACAACAAAACTCTTTTCATGCGATAAATGCAAGTCATTCCTGTTAATCTAATGCTCGCCAAAATTTATACCGTAAAATTTGTAAAGTATATGTATTTAGTGTGGAAATGTAATAATAATCAAGTCACAATAGTTCACTCTCTCTCTCTCTCTCTCTATAGTTCTTCAAAGATATTTGAGCAAAGATATAGAAATCAATTTAATAACATGACACACACACACATATATACACTCATACATGTTTAAATTCCACTGTAGACATTTGCACACATAACTGTGGTCGAAGTTTGGATACTGTAAGAAATGTTATTGGAGGAGTCTGTACAAACAAACAAAAAAAAAAAAAACAAAAAATAAAAATAATAATAATAAATAAATAAACAAACTATACATTATTAAGCACACCAATTGTTCTGCATTCATATATATACACATATATGTATGAATGTATGTATGTATATTTAGTTATAAGGCACGTTAACAAAAACAAAAACAAAAATAAAATAAATGAAAACAACACAAACCACAAAGAAATCTACAAATTTATGACCCCGAGAAATTTTAGTTTAGCATATAATTTTACATCAATGAATTAATTATACATTAAATATATACATATACATACATATAAATATATACATAGATTTTTTTATTAAGAGTTGCTTAAAAGTATAGAGATTATACGTCTGTTATAGACTATAATAATGCTAAATAAATGAAACGAACATACTACACTATACTACTACTATGTGGAAGATTACTTACATACATACACATGTACTCGTATAACGTAAAATAAATTATATAACACAGAATAATAGTACATAACAAATAAGTATTCTCATGGACATCAAGAGGAAAGAAGAGAAAGGAATGTCATCTGTATATTCGATTCGTATTCGTTAATAAATGTAAGAAAATATTCCAAAAAAAAATTCTTATTTTATTTATGTATCGGGTTCAGATTGCCGTGCGACCAACAAGTGGCCGATCAGGACTGTATTCAGCACCACCTACCACAACGGTCTTAGGTCGCCGAAAGAGTGGCGGCGCTTGGCTGGTTAAAATTCGGGTCAGCACCATTGCGTAGAACCGTCTGTCGTGAATACTACCGAAGGAAGCACACCAACAGACATTTTATTAAAGGCGAAATCTCCACTCAGCCACATCAATAAGAGAGAGTACTGGCCTTAAAGGACTTCATACAGCACCGCGTACAGACAGGCATTAAACACCATTCGCCGATAGTCCGTCCGTCAACATCTTTCTGAACTCTCTCGCTGTGAATGGCGTTCTCGGTTCTCGGAGTCAAACCACCACCTATTGCAGATGAAGAGTCCGAGCTGCCTCGAAAGTCCCGCGTAATACTGGCATATTTCAGTTCTGGTTATTGTAGAAGATTAAACTCCTGCATATCCAGACTCGACCTCGACATCGGCATACCTAACGTATGTCCAGCATGCGAAGAGTTCCTCTACGAGACTAACCATCTATTTGCATGCCCCCTAAAACCAACTTATCTCTGGCCCGAACCCGTCGAAACAGCTCGTTGCCTAGACCTGCCGTTAGATGATCTCGATAACTTAAACCGCGACCCCTAGTAAAACCAATGTATGGGGTTGGCAAAACTTATTGTCATTGTCGAGCAGTGAAGAAGTGGGTAAGCCGGCCAGTTGGCAAGTGCCTTTCGAACAAAGATTATCTAAATCCTAGCCAGACGCCAATAACGAGTAATCAACGAAAGATATGATCAGGGAAAGGCCCTCGGAAATACAAAAACGAAATAATAGTTGTGCTGCTGGGTTTAAATTGCGAGTAAGAGACAGGAGTAGCAACTTCTCAATTATCTATGTTACTGGGGAAAAGAGTTTTATCGGCGTTTTTGATTAAGTTTGCCGGCGTATTCACTTCACAAAGGCTACCGTTTTCCGGCAGAGGATGTAGTAGACCCACCCCGTCATCCAGATTTTAGGCATCCGTATAAGAATTAATCCAATTTATATTTGCTGGTACTATGACATCCCATTTCGGCAGGGAATGTCCTCCTCTCCAAGTGTAATTCGAACTTGAAATAAAGGCTCCTCGTAAAAAACCATCAGCCGTTCGGAGGCGGGCTAGTATAAACTATGGGCCTCTCCATTTGTTAAAAAAAACATCAAGACGTAAAAGCGACAAATTGGTGGAGGAGCTCGGCCTAAAAATCGCTTGAGCGGTTACAAAGCGCCAATTATATCAGTACCCATTGGGTCCTAACCGAAATAACCACATTGTGGTTTAGACTTTCCTATACATAGAACCTTCTTTGACGGTTTTATACTACCATATATTGTACTATCAATCAAGTCAGTATATTTCAAAATTACTCTACAACTCTGCCATCCCCTTCAAAGTAGTCGCCCTTTGACAGCTATTCAATGGTTTCAGCGCGTTTCCCTGCTTCGTAACATTTCTGAATCGCTTTGACTGGGATATCCGCGAGTACCCTCGCCACGGCCGCCTGGATGTCCTCAATCGACTCAAATGGGTTGGGTTGTTGCAACACGACGATTCCTTTAGAGGGAAAATATCAGGACAAGCTGATGGCCCGGTGGAAGAAATTCTTTGTGGGCGATTCTACTGCTATAAACTGGTCATCCGCCCCGCGCCTCGTCTTCAACGTTTTCACGCTCTTCTTTAAACTCTTTAAGCTTGCTGGAGCCGACTGAGAGCACTTTGACCATGCACTTTTACAATTTTAGCGCAAGTTTTCGAAGCTGTTTCGCCCAATATGGCGCAAAATTTTACCGCGGCACGTTGCACTTGATTTCTTCCTTCCATTTTTTCCATTTCGTGGCGAGCACCACCAACACACGTTTACTCAACAGACACAGCAGGTGAACTAAGCAAGCTAGAGCGATGGCAAATATATCAACGGAGAGGAGAAAGAAGCAGGGAGAAGATAAAGGAAATTTCAAGATCGCAGGATTACCACAATCGCGGTAATATAATCAGTCTCATTACTTGATTGTCACACCTCGTAATTATGCAAGGACTTCATTGCCTACTTTGTCTAAGTATTTTTACAGAGATTGCTTTGTGAGGGAGCATCTACATCGCTTATATTTTTATTGCAGAATATCGACTGACCAGACACTTCACGCTTAAACCGCAAAGTCCTACCCTAGAAAGTGAAAACGTACCAGGAATCTGTTTCTTGCCAAGATTGATTTGTTATTGTGGTTCTTGCCAGTTAGTTGACGGTCAGCTCTGCTGTTGGATAATTTCCGCTTACTAGAGAATATTCTCTGCCCCATTGTTTTCGACGAACCCAGCAAGAGTTATATATACCCTGACCGTCCTAGGATTAACAAAAAATTCAACTGATGACCAAAACCCAATTGCAGTCCGGACCCAAAATCGAACGTGGAATGTCATGGGTATAAAAATAGTTACAAAAATATATGAATTTCAAAATTAATTTTGAACAAACCCATTTAAGGGAGATCAAAAGGTCTGTAAGAGTCCATCAATCCAATTAATTTAAATTTTTTTGTTATAATTTACGATAATAGTGTGTCCATATAAGCTAATTAAATAACCGTAAGCGACTTTTGCATCCTAAAATCTAGTTCGGGGTCCACTGACACCTAAGTTCATGGAATCTTGATTTTTCTCTGCCTGTATATATTTGCTCTTCTCCTCTTCAAGTCCTCAAATTATACGCCACCAAACCACGGCGTGCGTATCGTGATCATGCATTTGCGAAATAACCGTGAGCGAGGTCGACCTCGACATAATCTGTTTGTTTACTTCCAGGTATCACATTGCGTCAATGAAAGAATGTCTACTTAGTGACTGCACGAACTCAATGCTGTGAATAATATCAATATATATGTATAGCCTCTCACAATTTAATCATATTTTTTACGGAAATAAGGTTTTAAGTAAACTCCACATTACACGCCGGCTCTATGTACCTCTGAAAAAAGCGAACGCGTTTCAAGCTTACGCAGACAATTTTCCGAAAATTGTTTAAAATCACCTTCATGTGAAGAATTATTAAGAATTATTGATAAAAGCTGCACTTTTCGGATATGAAATGCAAAATGTGCTACTCAGTCACGCAAAGCTGAAAATCGCCTGCCAATCAATGCCATTAAAATTAAATATTTTTAAATATGAACTGGCTGTGCGATGTTACATGAATATTACTATGAATAAATAAAATACATTTATACCACATACAGTCCGTTTCACCTGATTGAAGACAGTAATTTTTGAGAAGAGAAATTCTGATTATAAAACAGTGATAAATTTAGCAACCTAGCGGCCACAAAAGTCGACTCCGCAGGCCAGGGTTCAAGCGGTTGCGGTCGCCGCTCGGCATATAGAACGTCAAGCTCGCCGAGTGTATTTCCGGTGTGAAATAAAAAGCTCCTCATAAAAATCCATCAGCTTAGCATAAACTGTAGCTCCCTTCGTTTGTTGGGAAGACATCAAGATGCAGAGTACAATGTGGAAGAGAAGATATACACAAAGTTATTAATTTCGCGGTTTCGAAAATAAACGTAAATAAAATATTTTTTTTCATAAACTTCTTTATCATTATAATGTTTGAACCTTGGCATTTATATGTGAAACATTAGGTTATTGAACCGACCGCTTCGCGAGTTTTTTAAGCTTCGATCCGATAGAGACAACTTTAGACCACCTTTTGACATATATTGGCTCATAAGTTGGTATTCAAGAATTAAAGGTTTTTATGCATAAACAAAGTCTTTTGCGCAATCTCACAAAACGAAGTCTAACGGCGTCGAAACGCAGGTCTCGATGGCCAATTGACATCGCCAAGGCGAAAGATTGTGCGATCACCGCGAAATTTCTCTTGCAATAAAGCCATTTTCGCTTTCGTGTTCTTTTATTAGAGGTATAAAACAGATATAAATTCGATTATCATACGAACGCAACGCTACGTCTCATCACACCTCTTTCGGACCGAAGTAGTAGTAAATATTTTGAGTGCGACCTCTCTTCAATTATATGAGGATTCTCGGAAAACCAAATGCAACAATTTTGCTTATCCATATATGACCCGAGTGAGAAATGCGTGTCGTCGTTGAAGAAATTTTTATTCGAAAAATTGCCGTTCAATTTGAATTGTCAGCTGGCTTCAGTTGTTGTTGTTGGGTGAGCGGGACTACATATGTATATAGTGCAAATATGCCATAGGAAAGTCTCAGCTCTTGGGAACGTCTGTAGCCGATAAACTTGGCCTGGTTTGAATTATTGTTCCTTTTCATAAATGCCTGCCTTTTGACAGATGCCAAAATGCATCCCTGTACTTATAATACCACGTAATGGCTAACCCTATGTATTTTAGTAATTTATAATTGACGTTTTATATAAAGATAAAAGAGATATTTCGCCGAACTTACTTTTCACGAAAAAAGAAAAAAATCTTATTTGTAAAATAAAAGTTTAACAGAGCGACTTTGAAAATACACCACACCTGTGTTGAGGTCAAACAAAGTACAACACAGCAGTGGTGAGCTGGTGGCCTTATTCTAGTTAATGTTGAACTCTGCTATAGAGCCAACTGGTGTAATATAACCGTAAAAAAAAACTAGCTGAAGACTAGTTCTTCTACATATGAGTTAAGATTTTCACTTAATTACAAAAAACACAACTTCTGGAATTTAAGTCTCAAATTCAATTATCAAGGCTTACAATTTCAACTACGATTTGGAAACGCTGTCTTAAGCAAACTTATTACACTCGAAAAAGCGGTAAAAAGAGTGAAAAATATACATACACGTATGTATTGAATTAATAACGGTATACTTTTCCAAGTCGCTGGCAAAGTCGTTAAATTAAATTACACGTTTGCTTGGCGCACCTCAAAGGCGCCTTAATTTTCACATTTTTAATGCCATTTATCCCAATAA